GAATGTTGAATGATTAATTTAGTTCACTTAAATCAACCAACATAGAAACCCTAGGTCCCTATAAAATTGACTTAAAATTTGCCATTCCAAAATAACACTTACCGAAACTTTGAAAGTAGGTAATGGGCTATGCCAAAGCAAGACATTACCACTCTCCAAGAGAAGTAAGGTATACTATAGGTATACACGTTAGTTTTGGTTAAACTCAACGATATCGGTAAGGAGTCCTTAGATATCATGGCAATGGAGATAAACGTCAAGAAAGCATTAGATGCGACGTTTTATCGAACCAAGAATATCTTAGAGCTATTAGAAATTGGATTGCTTACCTTAAAATATTAAGTGTTAAGACAAGCCAAAGCATGCTTAATCACTTTTTGTTTTTTGGGGTCTTTGAATTGTTTTAAAAATTTCGCCTAAAAGGGACAAATTTTAAATGTGTGGATAAAACGCTTAATAAGATTGAAAGTTTGCATGTATGCTTTAAATTTCTTTCTTATTGGTTTTATAAATGGTTTTTCATTGCAAATTCTTTCATTTGTAGAAAAATGTCTGCAACAAACAACAATAACATGTGCCCGGAACTCCCCGACAAGTTGGCTTTAAGCCTAAACTTGGTCAATTTCAAGGAATGGGGAGAGGAACTCCGGAAAACTCTACGGAATAATTATATGGATTACATATTGGACACTCCCATTCCAAGCTTTTTCTCTAAGGGACTCATGACTGATGAGACTCATCAAACTTGGTCATTGGATTGTGACAAGGTCACAAAATTAATGAGGAACTCCCTTCCAGAGGATTGGAAGACGAAGTTCACCTCATACCTTCCGGACATGCTTCTTAACAGTCTTAAGGAGCTAGTCAACATGTCTTCCGAGATTCGGGACTTGAATTGTAATCCCCCATATTTTTTTAGTAAATAATAATTATATATTTTTATGTATACGAATATATTATGATAATTTTATACTTATATAAATATTTTGGAAAGATTTGACAAAATAAAAACGATCACTTATATTTTAATAGCAATGTTGCTTCACTACAAAAAAAAAAAAAAAAAAAAATTTAGTTACTCACTTTGGGCCCATGACTACCAATTTAATTCTACAAATAAAAAAAAAAACCCTTAAGCCCATACCCTCATTTGTAATTAACTTCTCCTCTCAAAACCCTCCTATAAACCATCTACTGCTTCCCTTACTCCCTTTCCCCTTTGCTTCCCCTTCATTCACGACTCTCACAAAAAAAAAAAAAAATCGCTGCAACCTGAAACCGTCGCTGCTGCCTCCACCACCGGCGACCTTTCGCTGCTGCCACGACCGCTTGCCCTCAGCCGAAACCTGCTGCCACCGTACCCAGCCGGTTTCCTCCACCTTCCCCTTTTCTTTTATCTTTCTCTCTTTCTTGTTTAATTCTCTTTAAAGCTTCAATCTTTATATGAATTTTTCAATGATTAATAATTATTATGGTTTGATTATGTTTATGAGTTATAAAAGATTGCAAATTTATGTACTTTATTTGATTTATGGAATAAAATTTCAGATTTGGTTTATGCGAGAATTAAAGGTTTAAATGTTGATTTTTTCATGATTGTTAGGGTTTAATAACGTGTTGCTGAAGTTATTCAATTTAAGCATGATTTTGTTGTGATTTTGCTATGAATATGATGATGTGTAATTCAACAACAAGCTCTAAATTTTTCGGAATTAATTTTTGAATTTCGTTCGTAATTTCCCTTAATCACGTCTTGACTCTGACTCGTCTGATTTTTGCAAAACAATAATGTTTTTCGTGTGTAAATTCAGCCTCTAAATATGATTTTTGGGCAGTTTTAGATTTTTAACGAAGGATTGATGTTATAAATAAATTTTCAGATTATAATACTACTTTAAAGTTGCTGAAATTTTATGTTATAAGCTATATTTTCATGATTTTAACATACAAACTTGTAATTGAACTTTGAATTATTAACTTTGACTATTGTGAGCAATTTAAAGGCATTGATGCAATAGTTTAAGGGGTTTTAAAGTAGCTTGGTATTGCTGTAAATTATATTGCTTGGGTATTAATTGAGCTATTGATGTTTTGTTTAGGAGAGGACTTCGTAGAAGGTGACTTCTAGCCTTAAGGTGGCCAACCAATTCGTGTACTCAAGGTACGTATAAGAATACAAGGAACCTTGATTTTAGGAGCATGTTTAGGGAATTGGGAAAACCTAGAATCATGCAAGGGAACTTGTGGACTGGTTGGAATTGTTTGGTAATGAGTTGATTGATGATAAATGTGATGATTGGTTTAATTTATGTATGAGAAAATTTGCATTGATTTTCCTTATGAGCATTATGTATGCAATAATTTGCAAAGTGAGCTTAGAGGCAAAGATACAAGGACATATGGAATGAATCAATTTAATTACTTATTTATTTATATTGAAATAGAATGAGTAAAGGAAGAATTACAGTCTTATAAGACGAGGTTGAAGATTGAGGTGCCTTATGCACTGAAGGTGTTTATACACCGAGGTAGTTATAGGATTCAATAATAATTGTTGTTTGTCACTAATAAATTAAGAATTGAATTGGAAACTTGAATGGTTTGAATGATTGATGTATGATTGGTTGTGTTGTTTTGCATTTGAGTCATCACCAAGTTTAAACTGGTAAATTACGTAAAGTGCAAGAAGGATGAGCAATAAAACTCTGGATTTGTGCACATCTAGAGTAATGACAAACAGGGGTTGGGGTTCACGGGGTATTAGCCGTGTACTTTTCAGTGGCCGTCTGATATACGAGTCTCTTCTTTTAAATTCTTTTAAAATTATAATAAGTTAGATGAGATCTCATACTAGCTATGGCCACGGAGTCGCGCCCGTCTGCCATTGGATGTTTATTAATGTCTTCCGAAAGGAGGCATAGGGTTTTCTTTATTAATGTTCCGGAATGGAGCATAGGGGGACAACCTGGTCTATTGCTTAATACAACCAAATTAATGAAATGATCAATGCTATTTAGTGATAACTTAGTAATGATTAATAATTGAGTCATGTGTTCGAGTCAATGATTATATTGTGAGTGTACAGAATGCTTGTTAGTAACATGCTAAGGCTCTTTACTATATTTCGTAGCTTATATGTACTCAGCGTTGCTGATTGCGTGCTTTTTTGTGTTTTCTCTTGGTCATGGCCTTCGCCCTTCAATGACCCTGTAATGATCCAATTTTTACACTTGTAATATTGGGGAGCAGACTAATCACAGGTTTTTACATAAACTGAACTTGCATCAGGGTGATGGGATTTGAGTGGAGCGTTGGTTAATCACTTAGCTTATTTCATTTCATAAATTGATGTTATTTTGACTCTAACTCTACTCGCTTCCTATTTTACTGGGATTTGAATAAGGGTCGTTATGGTTCCAACTTGTAAGTCTAAATTTGGTTTTGATTATTAGTTTTGAAACTTATATTTTCTTTTAAAACTAAATTAGTTTTCTGCTGCTGATATCTGAAACTAGCCTTAACGTTTGAACACGTGACGGTAGCACGCCAGTAATTCTCTCACAGGCTACTACAGGTTATTACAGGTTAATACAGGTTTTAAAGAGAGAATTATTAGGGTGTTATAAAGTGGTATCAGAGCGCTTAGGTTAGATTTACTTACCACTAAAGCCAATTAGTATGTCTTAGGCGCCTAACTAATCGATTAAGGATTTTGTATTTAAAAGTCAAAAATGATTTTAAATTTAACTGTGTTTGAACGAATTATTTTAAATTTTTATAAAATAACTTTGAAGCTTGAATTATTTATTTGGTGAGATTTGGGTAGAATTAGAAAGGACATGCATGCATATTGATTACCTTCCATTTATTTAATTATTTTGCAAAGTTGCTTAGTTAAGAAATTGGGTGCTGGTGTTTTAATTGAATTTCATTTGTGTTGTGTTTGTGTTATGCTTTTCGAATGCTCGTTGCATTGGGATGACGTAGAGAAGAGATAAGTGACGCAGTAATCATGTCTAAGGAGGAGAGAGACACTAGCAGTGAAGATACTCTAGCAACTATGGAAAGGATTCTAACTCCGAAGCTAGACCAATCTAAGGAAGGTTATCAGGACTTGCATGAGTTTAAAACGGCTAAGAACAAAAAGAATAAGATCAAAACTTACAAGAGAATTTTTCATGAGATGACTCTTATTTTCTCGGACAATGAAGATGACCTTGAATGGATGATTAGAGAACCTGCGGATCCAAATGTTGGAAAGAGAACCACTAGGAATCCGAATCCGCTTTACAAGGCTATAATTATTGAAGACTCGGAGGATGAGAATGACCCTGATTTTGACATTAACGCTTATGATGAGGAAAAAGACAAGTATTCTAATGTGGTCCCTTGAAGATTAGGCTTATTAGAGTATAGCTAGTATTAGTAAGGTTTTGTTATCAATAATGGTTATTAGAACCTCAGTTAGTTTTGACATTGACTATTGGATTTTAATAAGTAGCTAGAGCTACAAAGTTTGGATTGGGATTAATACTTTTATTGGAGTTATAATAAGAGTTGTTATTCTATTATAAGGATTCCATTTCTGATTTTATGTTTGATTCAAGACCAATATAAGTTTTGTGATTACACATAATTTTGAGGAAAATTTCTTTGTTTATGATTAAATTGAGTAAGAGTGGCGCTGGGATGGGAATAATTTTCTTAAGTTTGCTTAATCCTGCGTGTGGATTGTGCTATTATAATTTGATTTTTCTTGGGATGAAGGGGTGCAAAGACCAAAGTACCCTTTTGAACCAATTTATGTGATAAAATGTAATATTGTGATTGAATGCATATATGCGCACGATATTTGAATTCGGTTTAAGCTGGAGTGAATGCTTACCTCCTTTTAGGTGTAGAGCTAGAATGGCGAATAATGCTGCTTAACTGAGGCCATCCGCATGTTGGTTGAGAACTTGAATCAAAATCGGGCTGACCAACTCGATCCCCAAGCCGAGATGTTTAAGAAGTTGGCTCAAGTTAGGCCACCAGTTTTCAAGGGAGGTGTTGATCCTACTTTTCTGGAAAACTGGATTCGAGAGTTTGATAAGTTATTTGTGGCATTGAATTGTCCTGAGGGTATGAAAGTTGACCAAGCTGCTATGTACCTTAAGGATGAGGCTGATATCTGGTGGAGAGATAGTGCTGAAATAGTTAAGGCCGAACCAAATTTTGGGTGGGAAGTGTTCAAGACTGCATTGAGGGATAAGTTTTACCCCCCATTTTTTAAGAAACAGAAGGCTCAAGAGTTTCTAAACATAGAGATGGGCCGAATGTCAATTTCAGAGTACTATAATAAGTTTATGACCCTTGCTAGGTTTGCCCCTGAGGTTGTCCCGACTGAAGAACTAAAGGCTCAGAGGTTTGAACAAGTATTAACCAAACAGTTACAGAAAGACCTAGCTTGGAAAGTCTTTAAGACCCTAGATAAGGTATATGAGAGAGTTGCACACATGTACCATCTGAACTCTAGGGATGTGGGAGAGAGTGCTAAGGTTGGGGAGAAAAGGAAGGACTTTGGGAATTCTGAAAACCAAGGTAACCTCAAGAGGTTTAGGAATGGGAACTCATCTGAGAGGGGTAACCAGTATGTTAGCAATTCTTCTAATGATAGCAATGGGGAGAGGAAATTCTTTTGCAAGTGGTGTTGTAAGAACCACCCTGGGAAAGACTATGATGGGAATTTAGTGACTTGTAGGTTTTGTAATAAGAAAGGGTATAGGGAGTATGAGTGTTACACTAAACTGAACCAACAAGGGAATAATGGAAATGGTGGAAGCAACCAACCGAGGTCTAGTAATTCCTATAAACAGGTAGAAAAGAGAAATGGGCAGAGTGGTCAATATGGGAAGTTCGGGAATGGAAACAACAATGGAACAATAGACCTGACAATGGAAACAATAACTCGGGCAATGGCAACAATGGTCACCAAGGAAAGAGCAACACTCCCGGGCGCTTGTCTGTGATGAGCAAAGGAGAGGCTGAAAGGTCCTCAGATGTAGTCACTGGTACTTTTTCTATTCACTCTGTTTCTGTCAAAGCCTTGTTTGATTCTGGAGCAACTTACTCTTTCATCTCTACTTCTGTTGTACACAAATTAAACTTATCTGAGTCGAGTCATGTTGATGTGTCACTCAGTCTGCCTACTGGCAAACTTGTTCATTGCAATAGGTTATTCAAAGGCTTGCCTTTGAAAATCGGAGAGGCTGTTTTTCCATCGAATCTTATTGAGTTTAACTTAAGGGACTTGGATGTCATTCTAGGGATGAATTGGCTAAGCTTATACAAGGCTAAGATAGACTGTGAGATACAGAGAGTGCACCTGAGTGATCCTTTGGGTAAGACGGTGTTCTATAGACGTTTTCGGAAGCCGAAGGGCATTGGGATCATTTCTGCTTTAAAGGTTAAGAACTTGGTGAGTAAGGGGTATCCATTGTACTTTTGTTGTGTCCAAGATTTGAGTATGGGTGAGAGTAGGCGGATTGAATGTACCCATTGTGAATGTACCCATTGGCTTAATTCCAGAAGCTGCACCTATTTCTAAAGCACCCTATAGAATGGCACCGACTAAGATGAGTGAGCTAAAGGTTTATTAGGCCTAGTGCATCACCTTGGAGAGCACCGACCTTGTTAGTGAGACATAAAAAATGGAAGTTTGAGGCTATGTATTGATTATAAAGAGTTAAATAATGTGACTGCGAAGAATAAGTATCCTTTACCTAGGATAGATGACTTGTTTGACCAGCTGAAAGAGGTGAGTATGTTTTCAAAGATCAATTTGAGGTCGGGGTACAATCATTTGAAGGTTACAGACAAGGACATTCCAAAAACTGCCTAAAGGACTCATTAAGGGCACTATGAGTTTACAGTCATGCCTTTTAGGTTAACCAATGCACCTGCCATATTCATGGACCTGATGAACCGAGTGTTTCATGACTACTCAAAAAAGTTGTAGTTGTGTTCATTGATGACATATTGGTGTATTTGAGGAATGAAGAAGAACATGTTTGAGAACCATTCTGGAAACTGTTAAAAGTAAGAAACTGTATGCCAAGCTTTCAAAGTGTGAGTTCTGGTTGGAAAAGATTACATTTATGGGGCATTACATTTCCAAGGAGGGTGTATCAATAGATCATGTGAATCAAGGCGGTGAGTGAGTGGCCTACTTCTAAGAATGTGGCTAATGTTCGTAGTATCTTGGGATTAACAGGGTATTATAGAAGGTTGTTAAAGACTTTGTGAAGATAGTGAAGGTCCTTTGGTCTAACCATGAGTACGAAGAGGCTATTTGGGAGGCCGAAGAAGAGATGAGAAAGAAATACCCCGAGTCATTTGGTGAGGTGAGTTTCGAGGGCGTAACTCTTTTCTTTTAAGAGGGGTAGAATGCAGTGTGATTTGGCGTTTATACCTCATTTATGCCATTTATTGCTTTAAGTTGCATGATTTTTCTTATTATTGGAAAGTATTGTTGTGTTTGCATGCTAATTAAGTACGTAAACTTTGGCCAAGTACAAGTTTATCGAGTATGAGCTCAGTTTGTTAGGTATGAATGATTGAGAAACAAGCAATTTACAGCAATACAAAACGTAATAGTTTTGAGAAATTATGAATTTTGGGTTAAGTTTCGGGGACGAAACTTCTTTTAAGAGGGGTAAATTGTAATCCCCCATATTTTTCTTAGTAAATAATAATTATATATTTTTATGTATACGAATATTTTATGATAATTTTATACTTATATAAATATTTTGGAAAGATTTGACAAAACAAAAACGATCACTTATATTTTAATAGCAATGTTGCTTCACTACCAAAAAAAAAAAAAAAAAAAAAAAAATTAGTTACTCACTTCGGGCCAAAGACTACCATTTTAATTCTAAAAAAAAAACCCTTAAGCCCATGCCCTCATTTTAAATTAACTTCTCCACTCAAAACTCTCCTATAAACCCATCTACTGCTTCCCCTACTCCCTTTCCCCTTTGCTTCCCCTTCATTCGCGACTCTGACAAAAAAAAAAAAATTCGCTCCAACCTGAAACCGTCGCTGCTGCCTCCACCACCGGCGACCTTCCGCTGCTGCCACGGCCACTTGCCCTCAGCCGAAACCTGCTGCCACCGTACCCAGCCGGTTTCCTCCACCTTCCCCTTCTCTTTTATTTTTCTCTCTTTCTTGTTTAATTCTCTTTAAAGCTTCAATCTTTATATGAATTTTTCAATGATTAATAATTATTATGGTTTGATTATGTTTATGAGTTATAAAAGATTGCAAATTTATGTACTTTATTTGATTTATGGAATAAAATTTCAGATTTGGTTTATGCGAGAATTGAACGTTTGAATGTTGATTTTTCATGATTGTTAGGGTTTAATAACGTGTTGCTAAAGTTATTCAATTCAAGCATGATTTTGTTGTGATTTTGCTATGAATATGATGATGTGTAATTCAACAACAAGCTCTAAATTTTTCGGAATTAATTTCTGAATTTTGTTCGTAATTTCCCTTAATCACGTCTTGACTCTGACTTGTCTGATTTTTGCAAAACAATAATGTTTTTCGTGTGTAAATTCAGCCTCTAAATATGATTTTTGGGCAGTTTTAGGTTTTTAACGAAGGATTGATGTTATAAATAAATTTTCAGATTATAATACTACTTTAAAGTTGCTGAAATTTTATGCTATAAGCTATATTTTCATGATTTTAACATACAAACTTGTAATTGAACTTTGAATTATTAACTTTGACTATTGTGAGCAATTTAAAGGCATTAATTCAATAGTTTAAGGGGTTTTAAATTAGCTTGCTATTGCTGTAAATTATATTGCTTGGGTATTAATTGAGCTATTGTTGTTTTGTTTAGGAGAGGACTTCGTAGAAGGTGACTTCTAGCCTTAAGGTGGCCAACCAATTCGTGTACTCAAGGTACGTATAAGAATACGAGGAACCTTGATTTTAGGAGCATGTTTAGGGACTTGGAAAGACCTAGAATCATGCAAGGGAACTTGTGGATTGGTTGGAATTGTTTGGTAATGAGTTGGTTGATGATAAATGTGATGATTGGTTTAATTATGTATGAGAAATTTGCATTGATTTTCCTTATGAGCATTATTAATGAAATAATTTGCAATGTGAGCTTAGAGGCAAAGATACAAGGACATATGGAATGAATCAATTTAATTACTTATTCATTTATATTGAAATAGAATGAGTAAAGGAAGAATTACAGTCTTATAAGACGAGGCTGAGGATTGAGGTGCCTTATGCACTTAAGGTGTTTATACACCGAGGTAGTTATAGGATTCAATAATAATTGTTGTTTGTCACTAATAAATTAAGAATTGAATTGGAAACTTGAATGGTTTGAATGATTGATGTATGATTGGTTGTGTTGTTTTGCATTTGAGTCATCACCAAGTTTAAACTGGTAAATTACGTAAAGTGCAAGAAGGATGAGCAATAAAACTCTGGATTTGTGCACATCTAGAGTAATGACAAACAGGGGTTGGGGTTCACGGCGTATTAGCCGTGTACTTTTCAGTGACCGTCTTAATGGAGGCGCATTCAGTTGGAAGAGTGCTAAGCAAAGCACGACTGTAGATTCTAAAACTAAAGCCGAGTACTTGGCAGCTTCAGAAGCCAGCTAAGGAGGCAGTTTGGATTCGTAAGTTCGTTGGTAAACTTGGTGTTGTACCCTCAATAAAGGGACCGATAGACCTCTATTGTGACAATAATGGAGCTATTGCTCAGGCTAGGGAGTCAAGGGAACACTAGAAAGTTAAACATGTCATGAGGCGATTTCACATGATAAGGGAATGAAAATCCGAGGGTGAAATCAGAATTTGTAAGATTGGAACAGACGACAATGTAGCCAATCCAATCACTAAACCTTTGCCTCAAGTGAAACACAACAAGCACGTTGAGGCAATGGGAATTAAGCATGTCAGATATTTTCTTTAATTTCCCTGTCTGTGTGTTTTAATTAAGTTGTGGAGATCTTAATGTAACACACTTAGTTAAACCATTCATTAATGGAGTAATCTTAATTTTTCGCAAGTTATTATTCCATTTCTATTTAAATGTGGTTTAGAATTAAATAATGAGTCCACTCGATTTGAGAATATTCAAAATAGGGTATCAAAACAATGTCTTGGATAAAGAAACACCTATTAAGTGAACGTTGAATATCATATCAAAACTATCCAACCGAGGTCATTTGAAAGTTGGACGACTAATGACCGTGTAAGATTAGTGTGTAGTATGATTTATGGCACCGTTTCTTGTGCTACAAGGACAAGATTTTCATAAACCATTTGTGCAGGTATTAGTTTGGAACTATACCGGATCGACTTATGAGAATACTTTAAGAGATTTAACAGTCGTCATAAGTATAATACTCATTATGGCTATCGGAACCTCTTTCCTTGACCATGAGTATTGTTAGTTCTCTTGTTTGAGTACTAGTCCGTTTTGATGTTGTCAAACATCTGCCGTACAAGGGGATTATAAAGGCAACACTCGGGCGACTAGGGCCTCTTAGTAAGGGAAGTTAACAATGCAAGACTGGGAATGTCCCCCTATTAACAGTAGGAAATATGTCTTTGTTGTTTACAAGGCCTCTCGAAGAGCGAGACTGTGAAAATGCATGGTCCTGCTCAGATGAATTTTAGAAATCATCTGCTTATTGACAATCGAACTAAAAAATCAAGAAATACTTCTGGACGTAATAAGGATGACGAAGAATCTTACCTTATAGTTCATGATGAGGCATTAAGTGACATAGGAAAATATGCTATATACAAACAACACAGTTGTCCGGAAGGACAAGTGGGAGATTGAAAGGAATGGTGTTATTCGAACAAGTGTATTATTCCGATAGAGGGTTCGAAACTAATTAGGAAAGCTAATTATTCAGTGAGGTTAAGTGATTGGAATGCCTAGTTGGAGGCCGCTTCAGATTAGTAATATTAAT